TAGCGAAAGAGGTCAGCACCATGCTGGGCAGTAACTCCAGAGGGGGGACAGAGAAGCATGAACAGCGCTGGCACCAGGACAGGGCGAGCAGAAACCCAGCACATATGTTGGGCCCGGGGAAAAGAGGAGCTGGAATTCTGCATGAGCTCGGTTATTGCCAGCAAAACGGACGGGAACAGACACCCCATACAACACAGGCCAGGGCGTCCCCAGATGAGGGGAAGAGAGCAGATGTCTCTGAGATCCTCAGCAGGGTCAATCCTGGGGAAAAGTGAAGGGAGCTAAAGCCCACCCCAAGCACAAGCTACGCCATCACCAAGGGAAAGGAGAAGATCGCTTATTGCTAGAAGAGACATCTTGACAGAGCACAGACTGGAGAGGCTGGAAGGGAATGGAAAAACAAATCTACAGTGTGCAGGCCTAGTTGTCACTAAGGAAAAAGACCTAAAAAAAAAATCACATGCTTGTTAATAGCATCACAGCCAAAAGACTATATATAGAGATAGAAATTGTATAAGCATAAGGCAGGGCTTAAAATCAGCTGGTCAAGCTCTCAGTCATTCAGCACAGCACTCTATTATAAGAGTGACCAGTGACTAATCTCACAAGCCCCAGCTATGGGCTTGCTTCCAAGCTGCAAGAGGAAGGTAATAACGTTACTTGTCTTAAAGAATCATTTCTGCGCACTTATACTTTTGCGACTTTTTGCCTAGCACCTATGCTGCAGAGGGAGGGCTGTGGACAAAAACAGCACCATTCTTCCGTTCTATTGCGTATTGCAACCCTCCTGACTGCTCCTCCCAAACAGCAGCAACCAGACAGTCCAGAAGTCCCAAGGCTGGAAGGTTGGGAGGTGGAAGGCGTCTGAGAAATACAGAGGGAGCTAACTGAAAATTCTGATAAGCACCTAGGCCATTCTCTTCAAAAAAGCTTCTGTGCATTACCACTAGCAAATAATCAGCGTCCCACATCACACTGCTGATCTCCAGACAATAACGAGCAACATGAGAAGACACTAATGCTCTGGAGGATCACAAGACACAAAGGGATATTTAAGCTAAAGTCTATTCTGAACCTGGTTATGCTTATTTTGGACAACTGTTATCTGTAAGGTGAGTGTACAAGCTGACAGTAATCTTGTAGGTGATCCTCCTCTGAGGTCTTAAGCTGAAGAGACAAGAGCACCAGCCAGCCCAGATGGAGCTGTGGAATGTTCAAAGCTCATCTCTGACAACATCTGGAGAGCCTGAGGAAGCTCTGGATTAAGACTAGAAAAATAAGTACAGCTATGGAGTGGGGATAGAGAAATGCATCTTGAGTCAATCCATGGAGATCTGGAGTTACTAATATTGCTATCAGAAACTGAATTATCAAAGAATTGAACTTGGGAGATGTATGCAGTGAGTGCAACAGTGGTGTGTGAAAACCTCTACAGGACTAATGGCGAGTATAGCAAAGCCGAAATACTTCCCATTTCCTCAGTTCACAACCTTACTGTAAGGAGACATAGATTTCTATCACTCTTGTGCAAAACTGAACATGAAATGCTGAAGAATTAGAGGAAAGGTCCAAAAATGGTGACACAGATAGTATTACTGAAGATCTGGCAGTGAGGTGGGAACTTCCTACAGCATTACAATGGCTACCATACACACATACTACTGGAAGAATTCCCATCTAAGTATAGATCTCAAACACCATCAGGACACCTTGCAGATACTTAGGACAGAAATCCCTTGCCTTATTCCTGCACATGCTGACATCAATCTAAGCTGTAGGCCAGCAAAGATAAAGCAAAGCTTCCAAAGGGAGTCTGCAACACAGCGAACCCCTTTTGTCTCTCTACCCCAGTCTTTCTTGAAATCGTACCCTGCATAGCCCATTGCAGCCACTGACAGAAGGCAGAGTACGATTATATTATTATATTTTATGATTATTATATATTATGCTATTTAATATCTTCATCAAAGACGTAGTGGGATTGACTGCACCCTCAGCAAATTTGCAGATCACACCAAGCTGAGCAATTCAGCTGACACGTGTGAGGGACGGGATGCCATCCAGAGGGACCTGGACAAGCTGGAGAGGTGGGCCTGCGTGAACCTCATCAGGTTCAACAAGGCCAAGTGCCCGGTCCTGCACCTGGGATGGGGCAACCCCCGCTATCAGTACAGGCTGGGGGATGAAGGGATTGAGAGCAGCCCTGTGGAGAAGGACTTGGGGGTACTGGTGGATGAAAAGGTG